AAATCGCAATTTTTGTAGTAGGTTTTCATAATTTTTATGCATTGTGAGATAGTTAAGCGATATATTTTCGTCAATGTCAGACTATCAGCTGATAATGACAGATGATAGTTTGACAGATATCGAATTCTAGTCCTATACTTTTAAAACTACGAAATGGTGAAAGTGTGATACACATAGGTTTAGGAGAGTTTTGGTGTATATAGCGTTAGATATTTCATATCGGATGATAATATATGCGTACGCTGTAATCAAATCTGGACCAAATTGCACCATTTCCTAGTCCTAGGACCAATAGTATGCTGAATGCAAATTGTTTTATCAATTGGACAATAAATGCGATTTTATGAGATGTAATCAAGTTTTAATATAAATTTCCCCTATTTGTTTGGGCCGCGGTACCCGTGTTGATATAACCCCTATATAAAGATACCGTCCTTTTTTGGTTTTGAAGATTTTAACCGATCATTTTCGCATAGGACAAAAAACTTTTTCAAAGAATAGTATATGTTCATATTTTCACATATCCCAATAAAATAAATATTTCCATGATCTCAAGTGTATTTTGCACTGGCTGAAATTAGGCATCACGAGTATTTTTGGCACACAATACCTTGGAAGATAAGTGTTTTGGGGAATTTTGTCACATTTTGCAACCGAATTTGGTACTTTGTGTTCTCATGTAGGAGCAAATCTCCCTACCACAAGTTATCAATGTTAGGCGATAGTCCCCATAAAACTGTACCCACCATTATTCGGGCACATTTTTAACCAAATTCCTTATAATGTAGTATTTTTTAATTGTCATTGGATAGCAAAATAATATAAATATCGGTCCACATGTAATATTTCCTTTATAGCGGTACACCCATTATTGATTTTTAGGGATTTTTGCATGTTCAACCGAATTGGCTCTAAATGACAATTCCAACCAGCAAGGAAAATTAAAAAGGCAGACTTAGCAGACAGACATTGTATCTTTAAAGGAACATTGACATAGAATCCGACTAAATTAAATATGGCATCTACACAGATTTATGTTCAAATTTAAATATTCCTGTAATCTATTAAAAATTGCATGTCAATCGGGCAGGCCAGGAGTCTATGGTGTACCATTTGGTATGCTGCAGCAAAGCGCTTAGTCCAAAATTTCGCCTGCATCGAAGAAATGTTAGTTATTCAGGGCATAATTTCATGAAACCAGACGAAATTATATAGGAGCAACATCAAAATCTGAGCCGATTACTAAAATAAGGTAAAGCACGTTATGCAACACTGACTTCAATAGATTATTCCAAATGTCGTCTCAATCGGACGAAAATATATGAGGGCGCTGTACATATACCTGATCCGATTTCAATTAAAGTTTATACACTCTATCTTAGTCTAAATTCCATACTTTATGTCAACTTTCCTCTCAATCGGAACAAACTTGGGAGTTTAGTACACAATGTACATAAAATCAGACGAAAATGTATAAATGGGCTACATCTGTTTTTGACCGACTTCAATGATACTTTACACACTCTATCCTAGACTCAATTTCATATGTTATGCCGAATTAGGTTTCAATAGGATCAACCTTGGGAGTTTGGTGCACCATTTACATAAAATCTGATGAAAATATTATATATATGAGAGCATTATATAAATCTGAACTGATTTCAACAAAACTTCACACATGTCATTCTAGAGTCGATTCAATACGCTATTCAACATTTCCTTTCAATAGGACAAAACGTAGGAGTTTGGTGTACCATTTACATCTAAATGTGAACCGATTTCTGTGGGATCATCAAGAACCTTATATTCTTATTCGGAATGGACTAAAAAAAATTCAAAACGTCATTAAGTTCGAAATTAAGCCGAACTTTGTATACCCTCCACCATAACGTTGAAAATGCCGAAAGTCGTAGAATATATAAAATGTGTCATAATACCGAATTTGCTACCAAATGAGCTCCAAAAGTACAAAATTATTGAAAAACATGTTCGTCATTTTCATAATAACGAATGTTGGTAGTACCTTTATATGGACGCTACACCACGCTAAACGCTAAAGATATATCCAATTTACTATACCAAACATCCTAGGTAATGTCAGTGCTCTATCTTATTCTAATGGACGGACATTGTTAAATCGGCATAGAATTTTATTCTAATCATACATATGGCTTCGATGATCATTTGCAGAAGTGGGTTAAGCAGCTCAACAGTCATAATGGGATATGTGGATATTCTGTATTTATATCGAAATTATTGCAAAATTGCATTTGAGGAATATTTGATAATTCTCAAGAAAATTATCAAATATTCCTCATTCCATTTGACTGAAGACATATAATAAAAAAAACTTGCAATATCCCTAAAAAAATCATCACGCCATATCTAACCAGTAAGGAAAGTAGTAAAGTCGGACGGGGCCGACTATATGATACCCTTCACCACTTTGGGTATTCTCAACAGATGAATCATAACAGACGTCGAATTTTGAAGGACCATTAACATGATAATGGATCCATAAACATGTCATTCTGTAACCTACACTAAATTTTTCATTTGGTCAGGAATAGGGTTGCTTCTTACAATGGGACAAAATTATATATATATATATATATATATAAATCTAAACCGATAAATCTAAACAGAGATTAACATATATTAAATACAGTTCATTGTACCAAATTGTGTGGCAATCAGACAAACTTTGGGTCTTTAGTGCACAATTTACATACACTCGGAAGAAAAAGTATATAGGAGCTATATCTAAATCTGAACCGATTTTCACGAAACTTAACACACATAATTCTACACCTAATTCATTACGCTATGCCAAATTTTGTGCAAATCGAAGGATGTATGTGGACTATGGTACACCATTTATATTAAATCGGACAAAAAAAAAAAAATATATATATATATATATATATGAGAGCAATATCTAAATCTGGACCGAATTTCATGAAACTTAACACGCATCATTCTAGACTTAATTCAGTACGCTGTGCCAAATTTCGTGCAAATCGAAAGATATTTAGGGTATTTGGTGGACCATTTACATAAAATCGGACGAACATATATATATATATATATATATATCTAAATCTGACCCGATTTTCAGGAAACTTAACACACATCATTCTATACCTAATTCATGATGCTATGCCAAATTTCGTGCAAATCGAAGGATAAATGGGGACTTTGGTACACCATTTTCAGTAATTCGGACGAAAATATATATGGGAGCTATATCTAAATCTGAACCGATTTTCAGGAAACTTAACACACATCTTTCTAGACCTAATTCAGTAAGCTGTGCCAAATTTCGTGCAAATCTAAAGATAAATAAGGACTTTGGTGCACCATTTACCTTTAATCGGACGAAACTATATATGGAGCTATATCTAAATCTGAAACGATTTTCTCGAAAATTGGCACACATTATTCTGGAACTAATTCAGTACGCTATGCCAAATTTCGTGCAAATCGAAACATATATAGGGACTTTGGTGCCCCATTTACTTTAAATCGGACGAAAATATATATGGGAGCTATATCTAAATCTGAACCGATTTTTCCCAATTTCAATAGGGTTCGTCCTTGGGCAAATTAAATGAGCTGTGCCAAATTTCATCCAAATCGGATAATAAATGCGAGCTGTACTTTGTTTACAATTTAACATGGACAGACAGACGGACAGACGGACATGCATAAATCGACTTAAAAAGTGATTCTATGCATATTCTCAAAAGGAACCATGTGCCTATCTCGTTTCCTCTTGCCTGTTACAAACATATGCACAAAGACATAATACCCTGTACCACAGTGTGGTGAAGGGTATACAAATCTTGACCTATGATGAATTTTCCCTCCTGGGCTCATAAGATATTTACCAAGGGCTCTCATGCGCATACGGAATTTTGACCAGATCATGATCTGTGTGAATTTCTATCACAATGTACCAATGAACCAAAGAACCTTTAACGGGTACATTGCGCCATTCGAAAACATTGAATTATTGTCCACAAGGACATTTAATATGTAACTGTAATGTTTTCACACATTTAATTGTAATGTATCAGTTTAAATCATAAAAATTGGTATAATCTGACGCCAATATAAACAAATCATCTATTTCTCAAATGAAATATTGACAATTAGAATAGACCAAAAATAAATAAAATTGAATTAAGGTGATATTACGACTATACATTAATGTAAAGTTGTGGACTTTTTATCACTCTATCGGACGTGATAATACAGCGGAAGTTTTATTGAAATTTGGATCAATTTTCACCCTTTTCTATAGAGTTAGTTCTAGAACCATAAATATGTTGTATGCAAAATTGTATATCAATCAGAAAAGAAATGCGATTTTTATATTCAATTTTTACTATGTGTGAAGGAACGAGCTTCCTATAAAGTGTTTTGTTTCGAAGATAATTTTATATCTAATAATTCTCAAATCAAAGCAGATGTTTTAATACGAAGCATTTATATATATATATATGTATATATCAATGATGGCAATACAAAAATATATCAGGCTGTTCACTTTTAGCACCCCAGAACTTAATTTTTTTACAGGAAGACATATATAACATTTTTACAGAATAATTTTCAATATTTTTTAATTTGAAATCACAATGTTTTTATTTAACTACTACATTATACTATACACAAATGCAATACCATTATAACCGATATATTTTTAATCAATCTAAAGAGAAAAACTTCACATTATTCCGCATCTTATACCAATCCACACATTTCACAACAAATGCCGACGGCATACTAAGCTAAAATGGCAAAAATATGAGACCAATAACGTGCGATGAAAACTTGTCGAAAAAACGAAGTTTTTATAAGAAACCACCCCAATGCTTAAGAAAAAAAAAATAAAACAACACCACCAAGTTGCCAGCAACAATGTTGAGAAACAATATTACAACAAAAACATAAATTCTTTTTATTTTAACATTTATTAACAATGTTAGCAGATGTTGTGATAAACCACATTACAATTTGGCCTTCTGTTGATGTTGCTTCTGTAGTGTCTGTTCCATAATAGCTAAAACATCGGCAGCACAGCCCCAGGCCAATGTTACACCACTGCCGCCATGGCCATAGTTGTGGATAACAAAGTGTTTACCTTTACAAAAATAAAGTACTTTATTTATTTTCTTTTAAAGTGCGATTTCAATTACTTACCCTTTTGTTCACCTTCCAAACGTAAAGCAGATCTGCCAGGTCTCAAACCCACCCAATCGAATAGATGTGTGGCATTTTTCAATGCAGGCAAAATATTTTCACATCCCTCCATAATGAATTTCTTATCCTTGGGACAGGGTATAATGTTGTAATCGTGTTCCTGATGAGTACCACCCAAAACAACGGTATCCATACTGAAGACTTAATTTTTAGTAAGAATTTTAATATTAAATTTCTTTCAACACTTACTTTGGAATGATGTAATTGCCATCATCACTTTCATCCAATAGACTGTAGTACAACCATGGAGCCTTAACACGTGCCACCTGACCACGAATTGGCAACATTTTATTATCGCCAATCACCTGCTGTGATCCCAAACCGGTACAATTGATAACCACATCATAGTCACTGCTTTCCAAAAATTTCTCCAGACTATCAATTTTTTGTTGGACTATTTTGCCACCACCCTTCTCGAAACGTTTCATTAAATATGGCAACAATCGTTTTGGCTCCGATGTGTATGTTATGAAATGGAGGCCAGAACTGGAGAAGAGAGAGAACCAATATTACAAATTACTTAATGGAAAATATAGTAGTCGATCTGACCGATACCCTACACATCTATCAATAAACTTTCTAAGAGGCGAATTTTTTCTGTTTTTATAAATGTCAATCACTCCTCTTGGATACACCAGAAACTTTTTCCGCTTGTGTCTTGTCGGACTTAATATAAATCCTCTAGAATACATTTTTTTTCTCAGATCCCCTTTCCTCATGTAAAATTTCGTGATGTTCGGGACACAACTGTAGCCTATTGTGTTAACTAAAAAAATGGCAATAACGAAGTTGTTGGTCTTAATTTGATCCCCTAAATATTAAGAAGAACGCGGAATGCCAAATTACTGTAACTTCAGTTGGAAAATTCACATAGGACTATCAAACTACTGTTTCACAACCTCCAAGAATCCGAAATGCAAATTGTAAACCTTTTGGTAAGTTCTGTTAAAATTATTAAAGTACCTAAAATTGGGATCGAATCATTATATAGATGCTATTTTAAAACATTGATCCACATTAACAATATTCTGCGAATAAGTACTTATTCCACTAAGAATATGAAATGCCAAATTACAGCCCCTTTGATTTAAAATACGATATTAAAAAAAAACATAGAACTATACTGAAAATTCTATATAGAACGGGGATCTATATAGTACACTTAAAAAAAATCTATATTACAAGAAACAAATTTGATGGTTCAAAATATCGAAAATCGATAAAAGTATTCTGATGAATTTCTCAGCATAAAAGGAAACGTGGCAACACAACATTTCGACCGGGACATGTTGATTGTAGGTTTAATCAGACTATCAAGTAGAAAGACTATCACATTTAACGACTTAAGTTTTACCGGTAGTTTTCAATTTTACGTCGTATAAGAGCCCTCACAGCCAATGAAGTACGAAGGAACATTGCATATGCAATCAATAACCCTAAGTCATACAAAGCATGTAACCGGACCACATGACTCGTCATTCCTTTCATTGAAGAATAACAGTTTTTCAGTAGCCCAGTAGAAGACTGAATCAGCAACCATGCAAGCGAATGGTTATTAAGACCTGTAGAATGTTATTAGAACCTATAGAATGTCTCGATACCGTCAACCTTGCCAAGATATTCTTGTACATATCAAATACTAAACTCCTGTCGCGCTTGATACGTTGGAAAATCAACTTTATTAGTGAACACCAGTCATAACCAAAAACACAAATTCGAAGACCTGTAGGGTAAAAAAGGGAGTTCCTCCGCATCTTTTCAACCTCCACTTCCTCAACAACCGGGCGGGTTAAAATCACAATGTATGCGGATATTTGTACGATATTAGAAGATACACGTTTACACAGCTGATCTTGTACGATTATTTTATCTGATAAATATAAAACCAGTAGAAGAGTGTTAGTCGGTGGCCGACAGATTTATACCCTAGCCTATGGTTTGCAGACTCCTACTGGTTTTATTATTCGCTTCATATAAGGTATATGTTTTTTATCAAGAAGGAGAAGACGGATAAGTCACATCTTCAGACTTGGTCTAGTTTTGGCATTACGATGTGTAGAGTTTGAGGCAAATTGCTTAATATTGGATTTTTAAAAATTTTTACAATTTGAAAGATTAATTTTTAGCAAAAATTTGACTTTTGGCGGGTATCAGAAGAAGTGGATTGATATTCTTCATCTTTGGAAGAAATGTTACGCCGAAGAAATATTAAAGTGATATCGTGCGCACCATCCAACCAGACAGACGGACGTACATTTGTAAATTGACTCCAAATTGTCTGAAACGGATTTGGTCCATAGAAACGTGGGCTATAAAACCAATATTTTGATCAAGCACCTTATCCGTATCAAAGTCTACATAGCCATAAGGTTATGGGTATAAATGGACGGCTGAAATGAATATTAAGTTCATCTATATGATCAATGGATAATATATTTTGACCTGCGCAAGCCACTGCTCAAAGTCAATGGCGGATAGCACTTTGTGGTTTGTGTACTGGGCGTCCATTGACACAAACAAATATTGTTAATTCAGTTCCTACTTGGGTGTCAGGACAGAACTTCATGGTCTAGAGGAAATTCAAAGGTGAACGCTTGATCTTAATCAACAGATCTATCATTCATTTTTGAATATAATCCATACATATACAGTCGGATACAATTCATAACAGCAGAGGAGACAGCTAATATCAGGGTAATGCATCCATCACAAATCCTATTTGACAGGAGTTGATGGCTCGATACAACACACATGCCAAGCAAGTTGACAAAGACTGCACGAGATGTTATACCTATTCAATTGCCCATGCCTTCTATTATGCGGAGACCCATATACGCAAGATCTATTAATGACAACAATTCATTCCTTCAACAATCATTCTATTTATAGCATATCCTTCAACAACACTTCTACATCTCGATTACACAGAATATTCTTCAAACGGCATTATACAGATAGAGAGCCTCCGGCAGACAAAATACCCTCTAAAAGCTCGTATGTATATAGGATCCTTCAGCTGTTCTACTATAGCAAAAACTATTGCAATATACTTTAATTTACACGTAGAACCCACAACAGAATTATAAGCCATCAACAAGACCACAGAAGTTCCTTCAACAAAGCTCTTTAGCAGTCAGAATATCAATATTTAAAGTGTATTATTTCGGGTTCTCCGTAGAATTGTTTACATCCTCCATCATAAGGTGGAGTGTATATTAAATTTATCCTTATGGATCTAAAAGCTCGTATTGAGGAGTTCAAGGCCGTTTTTTTACTACTAAAATAATTGTTCAATTCTATGGCAGTTTAAATGTATTAGTAGCCTCCACAAAATTCGTCTTCCCATCTGAGAACAAAATACATCTTCAAGTATTTTGAGTCTCAAGGGGAATCAAACGTATAGGCAATCGTTATTCGTACTTCTACCCTTCACCACACTGTGACCCATAGTTCCCATTGAGAATATGCATAGAACCATTTTAAATTGTAAATCGCTTTTAATGAGATGAAATTTGGCACATCTCATTTATTTAGGCAAATCCTATTGAAATTTGTGAAAAAAGTTCAAATTTTGATGTAGCTCCCATATATATTTTCATCCGGTTTTGTGTAAACGTGCTCCAAACACCCAACGATTGTCAGATTAAGACTAAATTTTGGATAATGCATTGAATTGAGCCTAGAATAATATGTATTAATATTTGTAGTTATTGATTCAGTAGTATATATAATTTTTCATATATATTATTTTGTCCGATCGTGTCTTAATAGTGCAGCATATTTCCAATTGCTATGAAATTTTGTGTCTACAATAAAGTGTATTAAGCTTCGTTCAATTCGTGAAATTTCGTCCAATATGTCAAATTAGCTTCGAACCGGTATAGCTTTGAAATTGTGCATAGATTTCAGAATATCAATGTCGAAGTCGATTCCATGTCAATTGTCAAATAAAATAAGTAATCATCATTTATAACCATCTGAAATTTCAACCAATATTTTTTCCGTTAACCGACATTTATAATATGTATCGGGTACGTGCTAAAATTCTCACTCTTTACTACTTACGTGTATTTCTTAGTGCGATTTTCATTGTATTCCTTTAACATTTCATCTGTCATTTCATGGCAGCCATAAACAATATCTTTCCAGAAATCATCAACTGGTGTATCGGCAGTTGTTAGGCGAATAACTGGCAATAAGCACACACCAGCCTCGCCAGCATCTTCAGAAAGCCATAATTCTTCTAAGAAATCATGCATGCCCTTGGACCATTGGCTAATACGAAAAAAAAATGTTTTTTTTTAACTTCTAATTTGCATTCAATCACACACTACTCACTGCACTTTAGCGGTGGGTGTACCACCCAATAAAAATGGTCCCCACAAACCGGCCGAACCATCACCCGTAGTGTTGGGTGAAAACTTTTCCGACAAAACGGTCACTTCAATTGGACGATTTTGTTTCTTATAGTGCTCCTGAATACGAACGGCACAACAGAAGCCATTGATACCACCACCCAATATAGCGACACGCATTTTTTCTAATTTTTTTATTCGATTTTTTGATTCCGCTGATCGTTTGGCCGTTGAGCAAACACAAAATATTACTGACCCCAACCACTCACTTTGTTGACGTTCACTCACTAGTCCCGCTGGCACTAATCAATAATTCTCCACATATAGTTTGTTGTTGCTATTATTTTCATTTCGAGCGTTCTTATCATCTTCTCATGAGCAGTGCAACGATAAACCTGCTGTCTTGTTATTGCTTTTACTGTAGCTTTCCGTATTTTGCTTCTCAGCTGTTGTCGCTGATAAATCCGTCTGTCAGTCAAGTGTTATATGGAACCGAATTGAATTGCAAATATAAAAAATAGTTTTTAATTGTTGTGATAATAATCGAATAAAATCGTGATAGACAATCTAGCTGCGACTATTCGTACATGGGCTATTTGGTTTACTGAAAGAGATTACTGATAACAAACAAAAAAAAATAAAAATTAGCTTTGATAAGTTTTTTGTTGTTATACAAATTAAGATAAATACCGAATATTGGTGAAGAATTTCGTACAATGCAATTGACCACAGACCAATCTGACAGATTTCAAGACTAGGATTTAAAAATATTTTTTTTTTCAACGAATATCAGAACAATAAAGAATATTTTTTCAAACACCATCTGACCAGTAGGCGTGGATTTTTTAAAGAATATTTTTTCAAAAATCATCTGACCAGTAGGCGTGGGTTTTTTTACGAAAAATCCTAACATTTATGTTCTTTGTAATTTACATTGCCCAAATTCCCATTCAAGTGTCAGACACATTGAATAAAGACACACGACACTCTCGTCCATCATTGTGCGTCCGGAAGAACTGCAGATTCTTTATCATTTCAATGAATTTGAAATTAATTTAATTTTGTGAAAATGCGAAACAAAAATAACAACAACAACTAACAGAACCATTCACTGACCCATAAAACAAATAATGCATATTTTTGGGTTTTGGTTTCCTTTCATTCTCCACAACACGCAGCACAAAGTCAAGTAAATATTTTTCGGCATTATTCTTTTCCAGTTGCAGAAACGGGGCAGGATGGACGAACATTTCTGCCAGTTCTATGGTTCTGAAATGAGAATGCACTAATGTTAAAGGCGTAGAGGGGTGGGGAGGTGAACCAAAGGGATTTAGAAGGGAGATGGCAAAATGCTTTACAACTGCATTGCCTAATATGCCAAGAATGCTGTGATGAATTGTTCCATACTCCATTCACCAAAAATAACAACAAACTGTGCTGTGGACAGGGACATAACCAGGACAATAGCAACAATATTAAAACCACAAAGAAACACAAAAATGTGTTGTTGTTGTTTGTTTTCTGGTATGAAATTGCAACGACTTGAAAGTGTGAAATATGTACATTCATTTTATTCAGACCATTCCATAACAATAACAAATATTCCGATGAAATGAAATACAACTGTGAAAGATGTGCCGTTTTTTGTAGTCAGCCTATTTTACACGGGGTGGTTGTTGGGCACGGGGTGGAATGGTCAAACATTTTTGAGGATATATTAAAAATCTTTGAAGACAACAGTTTTTGTTAGAAGATTGTTAGCCATTGCTTTTGAGGATTTAAGGCGGATTGTCAGTATATTAAGAACCCTGGAAGATTCTGTAGTAGCTTAATGCGGAGCTCTTAGTAACAACCACGAATCGGTTCTAGGAACATATTTTTTATTAACCCAGAAACTGTTTGTTATTTATACCCTGCATTCAACATTACTTTAATCAGCCGTGACCTTTATATGGGGACTATGTTATTCATGCTCTCTGAAGAAATAGTGTATCAAATAACAGACACTCATGTTGGAAAACCGGGATCGGGATATTTGTATATTAAAATTTTTCTGAAAGCTTCAAAATGCTGACAATGGGGGCAATACCCTTATATGATGATTATGTCAAAATATGGACCGATATTGATTGTTTTCTGTATATACGTATGTCGGCTAAATCCTTCAAAATACAGAAAATGGATCGGTACCGTTATATTGGAGCAGTGCCAAAAAGTAAACCAATATTGATTATTTTTGGTAGGAAGATTTTACTCCCCATGAGAACATAAAAAATCAAAACTATTGAATGTTGAGGAATAACATTAGTTGGGAGCTACCCTAAAAATTAGACGAATATAGACAATTCTTAATAGGAATATTTTCTAACTACAGAGAACCCAAAATACCAAATTGCAGCCGATTGTATTGAAAAACGTGCTAAAAGTCAAATTTTGTGAGGTTCTGTTTAATGGGGGCTACCCAAAAAAGAGATTTCCAATACCAAACATCCTGGGATTTTAAATATGACGATCTATACCGTGAAGACCACAACAAAAAACCTATGGAGCTACAGTTTTATAGAACATTACGAAGATGAAAAATTACAACTTGCGATAATTGGAGTTCGGTTCAATAAATTAAGGACGGAAAGGATCCCTTGTGTGTTATTGAATAAATATAATCTCCAAAAATAAATACTATAGCTACAAATCAAGATATGAAGCAATATCCTCATGTATAATAGGGTTGCCAGCAAAAAATTATCTCGCCATATCTCCGAACTTTGGCCAATGGCGAATTTTTCCTTCTGGGGGCTTCATATACTCACCAAGGTCTTATATCCCCAATAGTAATTTCCCACCCACCAAAACCTTGTCGCATAGCCTTTAAGACCTGCTTATCCGGGTTAGGTTTTTTTTCGAAATATGCTATCTAAATTATTAACAAAATTTTACTATCGATGAATTTTTTCTATATTATTAACCAAATTTTACTATTGGTCCCTAGAAGCCCTACCACTATTAACACCAATATAAAAACCCTCTCAAACAATAAAAACTAAAAACAATAACACCAATAATAATCCTTAAAAAATAACTAGTAAAGACTATAAAATGTCCAATGAAAAAACATATAAATAAAGTGAAGAAAAAATTTTAATAACTTCGCATTGTTATGCGGAAATTAAAAAGAAAAACGAAAAGAGAGCCAAGAACCAGCAAATTGGGTTTTTGGGCAGCAGATGGGTACCAAACAACTGATACTGGTTAAAATAAATATCAGTACACACACAAAAACAATTTGTTCATATTTTCGAATGATGTTCAGTAACCCAGCGAACATATTTGATAAGGTCAATGGTTTACAGTGAATTTAATATATTTTTCGATATTTTCTGTCGGAAAAGTTTACATAACATTTTATAGCGATTAGGTTATGTTTAAAATTGTCATTTTCCCCAGGAAATCACATATCAGCTACTAAATTGAACACTCGGGACCACAAGCTGACCTTGCATAGAAGTTGATGTTTTTGTCATAAAGCTTTGTTTTTTTCTGGATGCATGTATGATTTTGTACCGAAAAATTACTTTAAATGAATATTTAGAACACCTAAATTCAGAATATTCAAAACAACCAAATGACACCAATGACTCTAATATTACCAAAAATGACGCGTGGTCTTTTTATGGGATCTATGAAGAAACATGGACTTTTATTAAAAATGTTCAGTATAGATCACCCACAAATATTCTTGCAGGTTATTTTTGAGATGATATACAGATAAATCAAATGCGGATTTTTTGTAAATATCATCACATTCTACCTCGATCCTATCTTTATTTTTTTAAACCAACGTAAATACCGCTTATAAGAGGCTTTTCAAGAATATGGGACTGGAATTTAACACTTGTCAAACTAAGTTGTAAAATCATATTTTTCTTTCCAGTTGGCGAAAATATTTTTTTTTTCATTTTTTTCATATTTTTCTTTCCATTTGACGAAGATGGGTTTTTAAACTATAACACTACGCATGGGTGACTAGCGGATGATATATACCATGCAACGGCTCTGATTGGCCTTAACATGGCAAAGCCAAGGCTTATCTCTCTTTCATCTCCCCGCGGTTTAACGTGGGGACGATACTTTCATCATCCGTTGAAATAGTTAGCTGATTTGTGCTGCGAGTTCACGGAAAACCCCTCCTACTATGAAGAAGCTAAGAAAAAGAAAACCAAACCCACCAATGTTGACGACCCGCTGGCGTAAGTAAATCAGATGATTACACCCTGTATTATAGCTGCTATAAGAATAGCTGAATTTGGTTGCGGATAGAATAGAAGACCTCATCTCCAGATTCAGAAAGTCCAGTAGATGAGCGAATTGATATAATCCGTATAAAAGCAAAGTTCTTCCATGCTCCGAACGAAGACAAAGATGAACAGACCAAAGACATATTTTACGAGCGCCTAGAAACAGCATATGACTACTGCCCTGGCCATGACATTCAAATTCGGCTAAGAGATTTTAATTCAAACATCGGTAGGGAAAATATTTTTGATTCCACCGTCGGAAAACTCAGCCTTCATGAAGTAACATCAGACAACGGCATGAGGATGATTTACTTCGTGTCAGCAAAAACATGGTATTTAGCTTCACCAGATTCAAGCATCTCGATATAAACTAGGCCACCTGGATTTCTCTCGATCAACCAACGAGCAATCGATGATTTTGTTGGACCAGTGTTGGACAGACCCCAAAACTAATAAGAGATGACGGTATAGAGTGTATATCAACTAGCCAAGATGAGGTCAGAATAGCAATTAATCGGCTGAAGAACAATAAAGCAGCAGGTGCTGATGGATTAAGAGCCGAACTATTCAAGACCGGTGATTAGACCCTGATCAAGAGCATGCACCAACTGATTAATACATTTTAGCTGAAGGAATACTTGCCCACTGATTGAAACCCCAGTATCCTGTGTCCCGTGCACAAAAAATAAGACAAGACGATATTTGCCAACTATAGAGGCAAATAGGAAGAAAACTTTCCCATCGCATTTAAAGTGTTATATAGGGTGCTGTGTAAACGACTGAAGCCAATGGTCAATGATATCAATGAGGCTTCAGACCTGGCATATCGACTATAGACCATATTTTCCAAGATAAGACAAAGACTATTCGTCGGCTCTGAGGTGT